ACTATTGCTGTTGTACTTAAATATGTTTTTTTAATCTGTCTGTCTACAGTATGTGAAGGAAAGTCCTTTAGGTTGAAGACTAAAACGTTAACATCCTAGTGTTGTCATATTTTCAGTATTTTCTGTTGGTTTAGGCGTGCCTGTTTATTTACGCCATCAGATTTGTGTTCACAGGTGCCTAATCCACCCGTATTCAGGTTCATTCTTCCTGTGAGAGGCAGTGACAGGACTGAGCCTGTCTGTCAGTTCGCACACAAAACTTTATTTAGTCTTGAAGACACTGGACTGACGGGAGAACTGCCCCTGGGATGACAAAAGATGACAGATACACAGGTAAACTGTAAAAAAATAACAAGGTGATTCAAGTTATCGATATAAGATGATGATAATGATGGGAGGATAATGGTGATGATAGACAAATGTGTGACTGAAAACATCATCAGAACAAATATTTGGGAGCTTATTTCCCATGTGCACATACTACTCCTCCCTTTTCTGTGTTTACTTTCATACAACCTGAATAGGGCTGCACGTGCACTGCAGCATCTTCATCCCTACTCATTGCTGGGCTCTTGTTACCTGTGAGCTGATGAGCTGAACAGGTCACGCTGTCCCGCTGAGGACTTTGGAGAGGACAGAGAAGAGTTGTAATAACATTCACATCAGAGCTGGCATAGTGAGTCACACATTCATTCTCCCTTTTGTTGCACACAGAGACCAAACATTTCACTCCATACCCACAGTATTACTATGCATACACTTTCTCAAACTGCTTGTACCATTTCCAGTATCTGAAGCTGTTCTTGGCAGTGGCTTTATTTCATCCTCGATGTAACCACATCCACAGATCAGAGCTCCAGCCCTGGCCCAGAATCAGCCCCCAAGGAGGCTGACTATATTAAACCACCACAGAGACCCTACTCTGAACCTCGCTCTGCCTCCAGCACAAGCTCCAGCTCCGTTCAGTCTGGGCAGTAAAGCAGGCGATACAGACAGACAGGGCCCAGGGGGTAAAAAGTCTGAATTACCGACAGAGGCCCAAAACCATAAATCTCAACTGCTGGACTCCGTGTCCCAACATGATCTGTCCAGAGCAGAGTGTCCCTGTCCGTTTGTGTGCCTCTGTCATACTGATGATGATTTGATCTCATTACAAACCGGCTCCCAGGGTTTGTATAGAGAAATTACATTAGAAATAAATGTGTGTGGGTTTGTTGCCATGGATGCCTTAACAATAATGATTCATGAAAAATGAGACTGAAGCTGATATGGTTAGTCTGAAAGATATTTGAAGATCCATCTATCCACTTCTACTTTAAAACAATCAACAATAGTTTGAAGTTAATGTCTTAATACAAACTGATAACTTTCTATTCTCTTGCAACACTGTCTAATGGGTGTACCGCAGGGGTCAATCTTGGGGGAATTACTGTTTCGCCTACAGATGTGTGCTGATGACATTATTAACTGTATACACGGAAGAGGTGCAGAGGATTTTCCTACAAAATTAATAACTGTTAATTATCTTATTATCATAAATATCCCATTAATTGACTGTTTTTATCCGATCAGACTGAAAACAATCCTTATGCAGATGTTTTTATTAGAAGTAAAATGCTAAAAACTATCTTTCTTTACTAATATACCTTTAATATTTTTGAGGGGGAAAAAATCAACATTACGATCATTGTAGAAACCTTTATACATGTAATTTGTTTTGCAACATACCATTGATGTTTAAGATAATTCCTCCTTTGCCTCTCATATCAAAACCGTGTCTTAATCTTCCACTTTACACAGTTAAAAACCTGCAGTGGTCAAGTGCAGTTTTACTATATTTTCACTCATATGTTTTGCACGTGAGAAGAAAACAACAACTTCTCAATCAGTGAAAACAGGATAATCCCAGAGTTTAAAGTCTTACCTTAAATACATGTCTATGGTCACATGCCCGTCAGACGAAAACACTCAGATCCTCTGTTATTGCTACTGCTATTGTTTGTCTGTCTCTTCCACATGCACACAGCCACACATGTTGGCACACAGAAACAGTTTGGGGACTGACACGTGCATGTCAATCCCCAGAAATGAGAGTGGAAACCAATTATCCAATGTCACGCCAGAGATCAGCTGTGGAATGCAAACAGGGGAAGTGGAGCATGAAGGAGAGATGGAGAATCAAGATTTAGCTATTTCAGATGTTTCTGAAGAAGTTGGCTGTGACTTACTAAATTCAGAGTAAAACATTTTAGTTGGCATTACTTTATTAGGAGGAGGTGGTGTTGTGTGTGTGTGGGGACTATTGTCATACAGAGCCAGTGCCATAGTACACACAACCCCCTAAAACCACCCTTGCTATCCCCCTACTGTTGACATTCAGAGGAATGCAAATGGAAGAACATGTTGGAAGGTTTACATTTCAATAAGAAAAAACAACCTCTCTGGCTTTGTGTGGGGCAAGAGTTGCTTGTGCCGCCAGGCCAATACAATTTCCAATTGGTCATTGGAGATGCTAATGTTCTTGTCAATATAAACAAATATGTAAAGAGATCTATGAAAAGATGTGTGAATAGATCTGCTTTTCACAATTACCCTTGTGTTTGTACATCTGCAGTAAAGCCCTGCATGAAAATAGAAACAGTGAACAACTGGCTATTGCATTAAATTATTTTTTTAAATTCTAAATACAAATGTGGAACTTTTATGGAACCCCAACGTACCTGTTGGTAGAATCTAAATTTGGACTATTAAGCAAACTTTTATAGCATTCACACAGCTTTGAACTAACTACAAGATTACATCTAAGACCAGGACTCCGTGTTAAATAACTGGCTGCTAATAATCACCTTTGCATGCAATGATTAAAGGCAATGAGAATGATAAGCATCTGTCATGATACTGATAAACATATGACCGTTCTCATGAGCTAAGCCCCTGGGGCAGCTCCAAACTGCATATCCCGAATGACCGTCCTTTGTGCCTGAGGGGCAAGTGACGGCAGTATGCCTCTTCTCAGCTCACTGTAAAAGGCGAGGCCACCTCGGGAAATCTGTCCTCAATTATGTGTCAACAAGGACATCCTTCTGAGAACACCTCCTCCTACTGATTTCACCTGCCCCTCATCCCCTCTGCCAACCCCCAATTAACTCGACATTCCTCTGTTTGCAGTGAATACTCCAAATTCTCCCTGATCATTGTCCACACCAAGGCTGAAAGGCCACCCCCTTTTTACCCTCTCTAACCATCTATTGTCACCTATGTGTGGGTGACACTCTGATCCCAGAGTCAGGCCTTGTTCTGCTCTGTTGTAGCTATAATTGTCCGCTCTGACTCAAAGGTATTTTAATTTACCTCCAGCCCTCCCTCAGGGAAAGTGAATGCAACACCGGCCTAAAGGCACAACTTGTCAGACAGTGGAGTTTAGTGGAGTTACTGCACTGCACGAAATGTACCATCACCACATAAACCTTATTCTTCAGGTAGGCGATAAAACAAGTGAAACTGCATTTTAGTTTAAAGTCACAAACACTCTGCTGCTTTGTCTTCTGGTGTGAGTCATTCGCCATTTCTAGGTCTCTTGTGCATCGAATGAGTGAATCCTGGCCCTTCATTAGGATAACAGGCTAAAAACACCTCCGCAGCGTCCTCCCATTATCCGTCATCATTAGCCTTCTTGCCTGGTTGCTAGAGGAGGGAACAACCGCGATGCCTTTTATCTTTCTGTGTTACAAATATGCTTAGATTACAAAATGGTGACACCTCACTCACATTATTCATTTAAAAAGGCAAGATCTTCATTTTCGCCCTGAGGGAATCCAGTTTGCGTGTCATCAAACATGAGTATGTACAGTATTTACTCACTATTAGCAAGAAAGCAGGCTCGCCCTTCCCATAATGCCGCCAGGGTGGAGTTCACAGTGTCGGCTGTGATGTGGTTAAGGGGGTAGTTCTGTGTGTGGATGTGTACACACCTAGCAACCATGTCTGCTCACGAATCCTGGGCACTAATTTCATATTTCAGCGCAGTCGGCTGTCATCAGCACTCTTATCAAAAATACATACCAGACCATAATCACAGAAGGACTGGATGCCAAAATACCTCAGAGCACATGAGCACAAATGAAAGACGAGTAAGGGAGAGGGAAGCCTGTGGGGGAAGGCAAGAGGAATATGGGACAAAGAGAGGATACAGGTTAAATCAGAGCAGCTATATATATATATATATATATCACATGACATGTAAACAAATATTTTACTAAGTTGCAGGACTCTTCTGACAATAGATACCTATTTAACTGCTCTGTTGCTATTCTTGGATAACTGGGTGAAATATTGTGTCATTTCTGGATTTCACATCCACCGCATGAATGCTTGCATGAGTTCTTGTATGGTATGTGTGTGTGTGTGTGTGTGTGTGTGTGTGTGTGTGTGTGTGTTAGGGGGTGTTGTATTTGTACAACATCAGCAGTCATTAACCCCCTGTGTGGACCTTTCACAAGTGTAGGGGCATGTCTGAACAGGTTACCGGCTGCAACACAACACTGGGAGGTTGAGCAGAATCCATCTGCGTCCTGTGAATGCACACAAAACTGTGGTAAAATGGCTGAAAGACAGAAAATATGCATAAGAAAAAAAAAAAGCACTTGTATTTTTAGAATGTGACTAACTTAAATGATGTGAGCAAATTATTTGTTTACATGTGGGGAGACGTGTTGTAATGTTTCACTGTAAAATAAGGTTAATTATTGTGACATTTATGTTACAATAAAACTGTAAGACAACAGTGAAGTCGCTGTAAAGCAAAAAAACCCACATTTTTCCCTCTTCCTAAAGAAAGGCTGTTTTGTCAGGACACCCAGCTAGAGGTCCACCTGTTGCAGGAGCACTTCTTGCCTATGTGTGTAGCTCCACGTGTAGGCGGGGGCGCACGAGGAAGGGCGATCACCAGCGTCCAATCAGATGGGACCATCGCTCGAGCGCTATAAAAGCCGTGTGCGCCTCTCTCTGCAGCAGCATTCAGTCAGTGCGCTGTGTCTGTCGGCTGACTCTCACTACTGCGAGTTTATTTTACCTCTGCTGAGCCACTCGGGGAGTCATATAGGATTATCTTCGTCCTCCGTATCTGAAGACTTTGTCCGTGAGCCTGGCAAGAGTTTGGACAAGAAAAATAATCTCCATTTTATCTTCTTCGGACGGAATTGACAAACGGAGAAAAAAATGCGTCTCATCCACAACATGACGACCATTGCGGAGTATCCAGCGTCTGAATACTCGGCGCCCAACCGGGTTATTAAAATGGCTGTGATAGGAGCCAGCGGAGTTGGGAAAACAGGTGAGAAAACGAGTTAAATCCGCACTTTGCAGTGTACTCGCACAGCGTGGCGGTAGTGATTTATTTTCGCATTATTCTGTCATGTCACTGTGCTTACGTTGTTATCGCTTTTCTTCATTTCAGCGCTCGTGGTGAGATTCCTAACGAGGCGCTTCATCGGAGACTACGAGAGAAACGCTGGTGAGTAACTGCGCAGCACAGTGTTTGAAGATGATGAAATGGGTTTAACTGGCTCTGAAAGGATGAAACTCTGGGTGTTAAAGACTCGTTTTGTTTCCTCTTCTGTGTGTGTGCAGGTAATCTATACTCCAGAGAAGTCCAGGTGGATGGAGAGCAAGTCACCATCCAGGTTCAAGACACTCCCGGTGTGGAGGTAAGATCCTCAGACAGAAGACAGACACATTACAGTACTTTTCCTCTGCACTGACTGTCAGGCAAACTGAGCCGACAGGGTTCAACACATGAGAATCTGTTGTACTCCAGCAAAAAGATGATATAATCTAATTCACTGTCTGGCTGTTAAGGTCATCTAAGCCTCTCTCAACTGGGCACCGGTCCAAAGCCAAAGATGTGTGTGTTTTTCTCCTGAAGTAGAGCCCCCTAGTCTGGCTGTCTAATCTCCCATTTAGGCTAATGGATGTCTGAGGCCAGGGTAAATGATATCCTGATCTTGATCCAGACTCCTCAATCACCCACACCTCTCTGTTCTGGAGGAGTAACCCTATAGCTCTTGTCTGCCTCAGTCAGCATTCCAGTCATGACTAAAGATCAGTTACAGCCAGGGAGCGTTTAATCTGGTCTGAATTCGGCTTCTCTTTAGTTAAAAACATTAAATGTTTCTGAGTGTGAAGGCTTGTGTTTTAATCAGTCTCCCTTTCTCTTTCCTTCCTAGATGACAGATAATAGCATCAGTATACCTGACCATGTGACCTGCTCCATCCAATGGGCTGATGCAGTGGTGCTGGTGTACTCTGTGACCGACCGCCGCAGCTTCGATTTGATCGATCAGTTGCACCAGCTGATCGTTCGTACAGGCGGCGCCAATATGCCTCCAATAATCCTGCTGGCCAATAAGGCAGACCTGCTGCACCTGAGGTGCGTCGACTCCCAGCAGGGCCCTTTGCTGGCGGGCACACTGGGCTGTTCTTTCTACGAAGTATCTGCTAGCGAGGACTACAGCCAGGTGCACCAGGCTTTCCACAGGCTGTGCTGCCAGCTAGCCAAGCAGCCGCCTGCCACCTCCAACTCCACACACAACTCTGCCAGCACCGCCACGGAGAAGAGGCGCTCGCCCCTCATCCCCCGGCCAAAGTCTCCCAACATGCAGGACCTGAAGAGGCGCTTCAAGCAAGCGCTGTCTGCGAAAGTCAGGACTGTCACCTCTGTGTGAGGAGTTGAAGCTGAAAGTGGTCCAGAGTGGCCAGAGAGAAAGAAAGCATTGGAGGTGAAAGAAGACAGAAGATTTATGCTTCTACACTGAAGTCCTGTATCAGTCTGGCTGAAGAAGGCAGATGTGAAATGAACAGTTGTAGGTTCTAAATAGCCGGACGGGGATGAATCTTTACAGAGGTGATGACCTCTTAGTGGGCCGGTCTGTCCTGTCAGATACCTTGTGTGAGGAGAAGCAACGAAAAGGTTCAGGACTAGAAACCACACCTGAGGACACAGAGGCAGCCGTATGAGGCTGGCTGAGCCCCAGACTGCATATAAAACAAACTAAATCCAGCTCTCCTGGGAACAGCAGCTCTGAAGGACTCCACTGCTTATTTTTAGCTGCGTTGCCAATTGCGATGGGTCTTTATTCAGACTGCCACTACATGGCACCGCTAAATGCTGGCATTATTATAGCAGCTACTTGAGCCAGGACTCTGCAGCCGTGTGTGTCAATACATGCAGTATATTTTGTTTAACAGCATCCAGAACCATCTTTGTGCATGATCGAATGATGTGGGGAGGGGGGTTGTAGTGGGGAAGCAGACACATTATGTAGCATGTGGAGGTTATTATCACTGATGCACTTTATTAAAAGGAATAATCCAAAGGGCCTATTTGTTTGTTACAAATGCAGTTTCTGTTCACAATAAAATGATGAATTTGACAATGTCTATGGTTTCTCTTTTGTTTTCCGTGTGTATTTGAGGGCAGAAACAAACACACATGCAGACAGCACACTTTCCTTTCTTCAGTCTGTGTGATGCCCTTGGCTTCATGAGACTGAGATATCTCTGCTATTGTGAGGAAGATGACTCAGACAGAAAAAGGCAGTCCGACTTGATGAATAAACCCCTTCATACAAAATGCTTTGAAACAACATTGATGAATAGCCTTGATTCAACAATAGAGGCATGACTGTACAGTCATGAGAGGTCGATATAAAAACCAGTGCAGTCTTTCACCCCAGAAAATCAATTTAACAAATCTGTTGAAATGGTCCGAGCCGACAGCGCTGGCACAGTTCCTGTTTATATTGGGGACTCTTCTGAGAATCACAAGCTCCAAAAAGATGAGAAAATGATATCGAGCACATTCCCAATAAAACCTGATGTGTGCGTCATTTAGCGATCTGTACATTTACAATCCAGAACCAAATTAGTGAATCCTGAATACCCTGCTCCGATCTCTCTCAAGTACCTCAAAATACAGGATTTACTGAATTACCACACTTCCTGACCTCTGACAAAATGTGGGGGAATCTTCAGGTGTGCAGGTGGGTGAAATTACTGAGCTCTGGCTGAGGTGATTCATGTTGGAGAGAATAAAAGAAAGTAGGGAGAGTGTGGGGGGGTTGGGCCCACGAAGGTGTAGGCGAGTTTTAAGTGTGAGCAAATTATTGGGTTTAGCAGACAGTGTGAAACGACTGGTTAATTATTCTGCTCTTATTTGACACCATATGATGTGGCGAAGTGTGAACGGCTGCTAACAGAGTGTGTATTCTCTCCACCACAACAGCGCGCCTTCCCTCAGTTCACACGTATGGCCTGCAGTTAACGCCGCCTGGTCGAAACCGCTAACAACCGAGCATGATGGACAGAAAAATACTGCATCACAAGGCTGTGTGTGTGAAAAGATTTTATTTTTATTGACATTTGATACAAGCAGTACCTGAGTGTAATTTTACACATCTCACTTAAGTGGCTTTGGACAAAGTTCTGTTTGGGGGCAGAAGAGCGATATTGTCAGTCACACACAAAAATGTACATTTTCTTTACTGTCTCTCAGAGAAATAAACAGGATAGGAATGTTGCTTTGTTTGCGGATCATCTCCTTGATTTCCACTTGCATCTCATTTCTCGAGCGCGACTCACACCTGACGAGGTGTTGCGGCGCACATGCCCTTCCACGTGTGCATGCGTGCGTTTCCACGTGACGGCCTTTTAGAAACCGATATCAGGCAGCAGTCTTTGGGTGGTGAAGAGCATCTCTGGGATATCAGTCGGCCTCAGTAATCTCGTGGACAGAACCAGCACCTGGAACAAAGCACAACACACCCATTAAGGTTAAAATAGGTCACAGTGTGTAACTCGACACTTATAAATGAAGCAGACATGAACGTCAGGGTGAGTAATGTGCAGATTGGCATTCAACAAGGTGCATGAATCAGGTGCCTTGGCAGCTGCTTTATTGTCTCAATTTGATTTAATTACTTCCGCCAAGGAGGTTCTGCTTTGACCCTGCATGCTTTCATTGTTTGACTGTTCAGGTGGCGTGTTACCTCAAAAAGAACTGTTTTTTTTTAGAACAAAATCACACTTTTCAGTGTGAAACTATTTTAAATTAATAAATTATGTATTTGCCCAATTTTGGAGACTGTTTTAAAAAACTGCCACTAATCTCTTTTCAAACATGATATACACAATATTTCTGGCTTCATCTATCTATTAAAACGATGGCTTTTTTTTCATTCAGACACAGTTGTGTGTCGGTTATTGACATGACAGGGCCGTTATGAGAAGAACCACAATGCCGCCAATGTTGGGAAACAGCAGTGAGTTAAAAACCAATGACATGAAGGAAGAGCAGTTTTCCCAGCTCTCTCACAGGCTGCATCACTGATGGATTTTAAAAACTTATTTTGCTGTTAATGCCTTACATTTTGCCCCCAAAACCCCCCAAATAAATAAATAATTTATTATACTAGTTTCAACACTGCTTTCCAGGAAGTCCTTGGTACTGATGTTGGAAACAAACAATAAAAGAATGTAGAAGTGACTTTTACACATTTACATTTACACAATAAGGTGCATGTCTGAAAAGGCCTCTAGAATGCATTTGTGACCACTGTGAATTCAAGCTGTGCAGTCTCTTTTCTATGTAAAAGAGAAAACTACTGGCACAAACTTTTAACATTCACCTGTCAGGTCAACAGGGGGCGAGGGTTTGACACTACAAAGATTTTATCACTTAAAATTTCAATGAAAATAGGTGGAATGCTCTGCAATGCTCCCTTAACTTTGACTGACTGACCTTCTGTGCATGTGTCATTCTACCCGCTAGATAATATAATTTTCATAATCCACTCAGGTTATGAAAAATCGACAGAAATCCTAGCATTTTTTTCCTCGGAATAAATAAAACAGCGATTTTATATTTAAAAAATAAATAAAAATGCCTATAAAGATATGGTGGGCCAACTTTGGCCTGTGCACCCCAATTTGGGCATCCCTGCTTCAATTTGCCCACTTTGAATGCTTTCTAGTTTGAACAAGAAACCCAGTCCTGTCATGTTGTATAACAGAGAAGCTCTGTTCCCCTGCAGCCGTGTTGATTTAACTCTGGGTCAGCACCTAAAGTTGGCAATAGACCTGTTTGTAGTGGCAGGGACGGTATGTTTCAGAGGAATGTTGTCCGAGCGCGAGACCAAAACTTGTTTTCACTGTAACTCTTTAACAAGGTCTGCTCCACAGTCACCTACTTGCTTGTATACAGTATGTTGTGCATGTATGTGCTAATGTTGGTATGCTGGGGTCAGTCTGTGTGTCGGCCAAAGGGTTATTGCATAAGCTCGTCTTTATTCAGTTCTCCTGATTACAGATGGAAGGCTTTGATCCTCGCCAGGCCTTTCATTGCCTCTGGCCTCTTTCTCGAAGGCTTTTATTAAGACAAACCAAAATTACCCGGCCTGATCTCGCTCTTCTCCTTCCTCGTGCTCCTCAGAGAGAAAACATATTAATCTGCATGTCACTGTGGTCTGCATATATAATCAGCACTTAAACCACCCAAACACACAGGCAGGCAGACAGACATATCATCCCATGTATGCAATTACTGTGTGAATGCGTGTAAAAATCAGATGACGCTCTCACCTCTACACCTGATCTGAGCCAACTGCCTATGTAGGTCAGTGTTTATGTTCGTTCCCTCAGCCTGAAATCAGTCTGAAGGGGGTCAGTTCGTAAACCTGCCCCACGGGGGGTCACCTTGTGTGCCAGCAACAGAGTCTCTCCTCATCTTTATCTCTGAATTTTTTTTTTTAAAGGAACATATATGTTGTTGGAGTACATCTTAATGAGTCATCAGCAGCAACACGTGCCTTCATACAGACTGTGATAGAATAAAGGTTTATGTTATGGATGTTGATGATTCCTATACACATAATCTATATCTGCAATGTGTTTGATTGACTAACTAATAATACATCTTCAAGTTTAAGATGTATTATTAGTTTAAGAGTTTTTATTCATTTGAATTTCAAAGTCCGGCAAAAGCTTTAAGATCTAGCGTATTTGTTTATTTTTTTGCGTTTTTGGGGCTTTTTTGTCCTTATTGACAGGACAGCTCAAGATAAACACGAAAGGGAGGAAGAGAGAGAGGGGATCAAAGGGCCTCAGGTCGGACTCGAACTCATAGCCGCTGCAGCGAGGACCTTGGTACATTGGGCACCTTTAATATTACTGATGCATTAACATGTAGGCTGCATTTTAATGTTGCAGTTGTTCATAGTGGTGCTAATTAAGTGATCATATGTTAAAAAGGTGCGTAAAATCTAAAACGATCAAGGAACTAATAACTATATTTATCAAATAAATGCAGTAAAATATAATATTCCTATCTGAAATCGTAATTAAGTAAAGTGCGGCCTTTTGCAACTTGAGACGGCAACGACACAGTACAAGCAGGGCTAAGCAATATTAAAATACATCTAGTTTCAGTTTTGATATTTGTGCACTAAGCTGCATTAAAACTTAGAAGTAAGCAGTTCAATTGTAACATGAAGCAAGATTACTTTATAGTTCATATATGTTTTCAGTATTATGAGTCTGTCAAAAAGAGAAGAGACATTCTGTCAATTCTACTTTTAGTGCTCATTTCTGAGCTGACTACACCCTGATGTCTTGTCCATGTGCAGTTTAATCCAAAATGATCCATTAAATGCTTTCAGAGGAAGCTAAAACAAGAAAGTTACAGTGAGGTCTTGAACACATTCAGTAAAATTGCTCTTGCGCTTAGTTTCTTCCCTTACATCAAGCCCACAGGCCTTTTAATATGCTCAGTATTTATTTGTATTGGAGGAGTGAGAGAATATGCCAAGGGAAACTAAATCACAGCTGAACATTACAGAACAGAACGGGACTCAAACTCAGCCACGATTAAGCAGAAATGTACTCCCGTCCACTCACCTGGGTCCCCGGTTTGTGTGCGCTAACAATCTCTTTGATGAGGCGAAGCTCTGAGGGCGTGACTCCACCAACCAGGAAGAGGAAGAGCAGAGGGTTGTCGCTGGGATGTGGACGACTCACCTGCAGTTAAGACGGGACATTGTGATTGGTCAGTGTTGATTGATGTGTTGATTCTGTTCCTAATTATAGAACAGTCTGTGATAAACAACCCACTTTGTCCAGGGAACACTTAATCATTTCCTCTTCAAATTATTATCTGTGGCTCTCCATGCGCCTCCATGTTGAGTCACTGCTCAGCTGGAGACCTGTGATATTGTGGTGATTCTAATGATGGTGGACTCTGGACACAGGTTGCTACTACTCCAAACAGTGGAGGGACAGTCTTCTCACCATGGTGTTAGGATCGCTGACACGTGGACATATAACCAGGTGTACACTCACACACACACACACACACACACACACACACACACACACACACACACACACACACACACACACACACACACACACACACACACACACACACACACACACACTCATACAACACATGCAGAAATACAAACAACATGTCTCACATCACCTGTGTCAGAAAGCTCTCACACACCTCAGACTGGCACAGCAAAAACATTGTAAACTGTCACTTAAAGATAAATTTAACAGCAGGGTAGAGCCTCTGTCTTTCTGTTGAGCGTGATTGGCCGTTGGGGGAATAATGGCTTGGCACTATTGGTCGGCGAGCTGCAGTCAGGTCCCATCTGCCGCCTGTGAATGCTAACTGAGCAATCAGAGCTGCAGGGGGCGGACCCGAGGCAAGGGTGGCTGTACACGTGAAGCACCAGCAGGCTGGGGAGGAGCGTGTCAAGGATGATTCGACATGTGTTTTACGAAAAAATGTGAGAACAAATGTTTTCTAGTGTATTCTGCTCATGTTAAATTTTGTATTTTCAGATTCAGATTCAGATTCATCGCCAACGCACCGATTCCATGTGCATGATTGCTGGATCCGAAGACACAATGCAGCTACGAGTGTCTGAACCATGTGTACTGCCATGGGACAGACAGGGAGGAAGGGGCTTATGAAAGTGTGTAGAGATGAGGTGTGAAATGTGCCTCTAGGTGTAAGTGAGGAAAAGAAAAAGGTGATGTCCTGATGATAAAATACATTAACAGGTCTTCTTAGAGACACAGTTTTTTTAAAATATCAAGCTGTTAGTGAGCAACCTTTGTCTTATGCAAGACACTCACTGTACCACTGTTTCTTAACTGCTCTAGCCACAGGGTGCAGATTTTCTCTTAGACATCAGGTCACCCTCGTCAGTGGATTGAAACCCAGAACCTTCTTGCTTAACACATAAAATCACTTGAAATATAGTGGATTTCTGGAGCAACTATTTTATTTTAGTATTTTTTAGTAATGTTTACTATACTGAAAATAATAGTAATTAAACACACTACATTTCTTTACACTACAAGTTTTTTTTTTGACAAAGTTAACCTACTTGCTTACAACTAACTCAGAACAGACTGCTGGGTCACGGTTGGATTGGGACCCACAAGTTGAGAACCATTGCTGGTCTATCTGATATCACAGCTGATTTTAGGTGCCTCAGACAGATTAGAACATCTGGTTGTTGCCAGTGATGCTCACATAGTGTGAGAAGGTCATCTGATGTTGAACATTCCAATAATTTTCAAACATTTCATCATTGCTCGTAAATTATGAGATTACAAAGCAATGTGCCACAGTTTCTGTTGCACAAACATGCCTTCACAAGACCTTATTGAGCTATTAATCATAGTAAAAAAAGTGCTCCGTAAATGTGAGATATCCTGTGACTTTAGGACTTAAAATTTATATTTGGTTGCCGGCGTTACTCAGACAGAGCAACTGCAGTTGCATTTATTCATAAAGGAGCAGGAGCCAGATCTCCCATACAACTGTGGCTGTCTAAACAAAGACTAAACATAGGACACCAGACACAAACTCACACTCACTTGGTCATAATCCAGACTGCGGGGTCCAGTGTGTTTAATGACACAAACTCTAGAGTACACAGTGTTAAAAATAGAAGTTTAATTGGGTTGTTTTATTGCATAAAGGGTGTGCACTGCACTCCTATAGAATGCTCCAAGTTCAGGTTTATAGGTTTAGTCTGTCTGAGTTGGTGGTTCGTGGGCCAAGTTTCTTAATTTGTGTAAAACCAGGCCACAGTTACACAACCTGTCTAATTCCTCCCCCTGGGTAATCATGAGTTTAAGCAGGCCCAGATGTGGGATAATCAGACTGTGGATAGTGATCTGCTCTGCGGAGGATATACATTACCCACAAACCTTACATGTCTGTTGGAGGAAAACATTTGGCCAAAATATTAACATAATCCATAAATTCAGCCCTTTGTCTTCCTCTGATGCTCTCCAAACTTAGAAAAACTACACTGCAGAGGGATGAATGAATGAATAACTACACGAATGACAGAAAGAAAGCAAATCCCACTGCATTGTTCTGAAAGGTGAAATTTGGGTGTTTCTTATTATTGAAATACAATTGCAGACTGTCTGGCCACTGAGAGTATTTCTTTCTTTTCCAGTAATGTTTGTGCTCCTCAAGTACCTGGACCACATTGGTATTTAAAGCAATGACCTGGTATAATGTTTAAATGCATTAAATTATTGTGAATCACTTTGATTACAATTTACATTTGTTTAGCAGATACACTTTTGTAAGTATCTTAATATTTACAACTCAAAATTGTGCAAATGGAAAAAGTTGGATTTTATATAATTTTATATATATATATATATATATATATATATATATATATATTTAATATTGCACCCCTAATGAAATGTATTTGTCTGATTACTCCTTTGCCTTTCATAACTTTCCCATGTTAAAACTTTAGGCTTTTGCTGCTTCATAGTTCTGTTACTTCAGTAGTTAGATGTGCTCACACTGAAGGTGCCAACAAATCTATTGTTATCTGTTTTCCGAGTTATGCCACTTCTTTGACATGTAACCCACCCTGCAGTTTTGAAACAACCTTTACCAAACATCGATCGAACATATCGGCCACACCTATTCGGTCCTGGGAAAGAATTCCATCATTTTGAATAAAACACCTTTTTCACTCGGTGTCCTACATATTTCTAATATAATCTAATCTTCCCCAAACTGGGTATATATCATATGTAATTGGTAATTGGATGTAATTGGTTACCAGCGTGATGCAGATGAAAAAGCTGTTGGCCATAACTGCAGGGATCTATTTCTAGCTGCCATTATTTTTGACCAGACACCCAATTTAAGTAATTTTAGGTGGAAAGACAGCAAGAGATTATATTTTTGTCACTGCTGTATAGGCTCCAACTAGTTGGCAAAATGGGTAAAGCGCGGGAGCAAACTGTGTAAATGTGACATCAAATGCAGCTTGTGACTCCATGTGGAGACACATGGCTGTTTGACCTATAAAATGTGATCCTGGTGGAAATGGTCCCTGTATTGTGTTTCTTTTATCTCCTGACTGAAGAAAAACAAACTGTATCAGGTGAGCAAAAAATTCTAGGCTTTTGATCTATTGGTCATATTACTATAAGCAGTGCTATACATCAAAATCTCTGTGTCTAAGATTAGAACTGTGGTTAAGGAGAATTAAAAAATGATGGGTAAATACAAGATTAATTGACCCATTAGGGCAAACCCTAAACATCTGCAGACATGAGAGGCTTACTCAGCAAATTGTCAAATCAGGTCAACTTCAAACAATGGAAGACGGCACTTTATTGCCCACAGTGGGTAGTTGGCAAAGGTGGGGTTAAGAGGAAGTGACAGAGCTTACCCCATTACATAAAAACATTTGTGTGTGTGTGTGTGATTGTGAGCGATATCTGACCTTCATGAACATGCTGAAGCCGGTCTTGAGCAGGTCTGTGAGGCCTCCGGACATATGCTCAATGTCAGGACACTCAAGTCTGTCAGGGTGGAAGACTTCTTCCAGGATCTGCTGCAGGAATGGACGATAGGTAGCCTGCGAAACACAAACATAATAACACACTTGCACATGATGTTAACACCCAAAATCACCCACACTGACAACGCAGTTTTATTTTTATATATATAGATGTGGCAAGTGTGATATTTTACAGTAAACAATGTGTATATGAATGTGTGTGTGTGTGTGTGTGTGTATAAATATGATTGAAGAGCTGTTGGCGTCTGTGTATTTTCCACCGAGAGCCCTTCTTTTAGCCTCTGCGTGTTTTGTGTGAATGGACGGGGGTGTGAGAGACAGTGGAGTTATAAACAGCACTGGTCGACCAAATGGGCCGCTAACTCATGAGTCAGTTCAGGAAGAGGAGCTTGAACACTTCTGCAATGAGGATGAACAAATCTGCACTGTTGGATGTGGCTAAAAACAACACTTTGGTCTATTATGAGCGAGTGTTAAAGTGGATCAAACAAAGCAGGAATCAACATCTTTGATTTGAAATCCTGAAAACATTTATATAATTCAAATATAACTCTAGATAGTTTCAGTTCTTATAAACCCATCAACTTGTATTCATTGTTTTTAGCTCTAGGGAAGATAATGTCTGTCAGCTGGTTTTTCTGATAATGTATCCTACTGACTTTTCCCCTACAGCCACAATGAGGGTTGTTGTTGTCTTTTTTGTTTGTTCTAAGACATGCATATTGTTTTGTGTGTTTTTATCTGTGTTTTTATTTTTATTTATTGAGCTAGGAGTACATGCTGTGCACCCTTTATGTGTATAGTCTAAAGTATGTGAATTTATGAAGGAATACGGTTTACCATGTGCCTGAACCTTGTACTTATTTTGTGCTTAACATGCTGAAATGAGATGGTGAACATGGTTAACATTATACCTGCTAAACATTTGCATATTAGCATCGTCCCTGCAAGTATGTTGACGTTAGCATTTAGCACACAGCGTCCTTGTGCCCGAGTACAGCCTCACAGAGCAGCTAACATGGCAACAGAAGATAGTAGGATTGCATTGACCTTTGAGAAAAACACATTTGAATGTAGGAGGTCAGCCATATTTCATCTAATTTTTGATTAAACAGAGTGTGTTTGTGCTGAAAAACAGTCATAGTTTTTCTTATTAAGATAAACATATTGACACCATCATATGACATACCCCGCTTCTCCCAAAAACAGTCAACAGCACCTGGCTCACTTTTCCATAGTTATGAGCTGCCTCGTTTTCACAAGCACAATATTTCATCACTATTTCAGGTCGTATTGACAGTGAAAAGCTGGAGTTTCAATAAAATGCTGATGTCCTTGAAGGAGCTGAACTGCAGAGCCTCAACTAAAGCTTCAGAAATTCCTTCTGATATTCTTATAAGGAACGTTCCATGAAAAAAAAGAAAAAAACTCTTCAACAGTAACAGGGACTCAGCTTTTTCTGCCCAGCTCCACAGGACAGAGCACACCATTTATAGACCTCAAACCTAGCAGATCAAGAATTCAAGGCAGATTTTTTTCCATGGGAGTGAAGTTAGCTGTTTCAGAGAACAATAAAGACCCAGATAAGACTTGGCAAAGCTTTAATTGAGCACTAGCCTTAAAATAGACAGGCTGAATATCTTCCAGTAGTGGATAACTTCCTCAGGCTAGAGTTAGTAACACATCAAGGCTGTATACCAAAAATGTGAGCGAGGTAAAACATAACTTTTCCTTTGGATGTTTTCAAAAGAACATCTGAACACTCAGCAAAGACTCAATTTACCAAACTGTTGATTCAAGCCTTACACACATACACACGTGCGCACGCACGCACGCACGCACGCACGCACGCACACGCACACGCCATGCTGTCCAAATGCTAATGCATTTAGGTGTTTCTGCCCACAGCCATTTACCTAAATATGGAGTATCAGTATGTATCATTCTCAACTGATGCCTTACAGCCTCCCACTCCTCTAGTCCCTGAGGAGCAGCCAAATTAGGCCTGAGGAAATCCTGCTATCCACGATGTATAAATCATGAATTATATAAACTAATATTTACCTCTACCAACATGACTTTGCTGCATGGGTCTGCCTCCACAAACAAAGCTGGGAGTAAACACAATAATGATTCACCTTTGGCTAAATAACGCTCACACACACACATACACAACCATAGCATTGTGGGTATAAACAACCAGGCCAACCCACAGTCACGCACACTCCATTTTCATCTGCTATCCAAAAAAAAATAAAAGCAATACCATTAAATCACCACCACAAACACCCACATGATGAAAACAATATTAGAATTAGTCATATGAGAATGCCAGCGCTTACATATTCGTCTGTACACACAAACATGTGCACACACATACACACACACGCACATGTGAGTATCCATGTGAGTATCAGTTTTCCTCATGGATTTTCTTGGCATAGAGGTGGATGAACACATTAATGTTCCAAAAGAACAAGGTGACAACATCAAAAACACACACAGAGCACAAAACAGAACGGACTGGAATGTCTTTGGAACTAATGTGGTCAAAATTATAAGGACGTTGTACTATGCATCTCATTTAAATCCCTTAAAAACACACAGTGCTAAATGTAAATCAGCACATGCACTGTATTAAAAAAAGAGAGAAAAAAAACAATGGTGCACATGCTGTGTGTGTTCTCCTCTAAAGCTTTGGTGTAATGGCCATTGGAAAAATCCTAACCCTAACTCACACTGGTTGATCAAAACATACATTAAGGTTTTACCTGTGTGTGACATTCGGAGGAACATAAGTATATGCTGAGTCACTGTTGACATGTAATTATACCTCACTGACCCGAGCACAATACGTCACACAGCTGAATGTATAGAGCCATAGGTGTGTATGCCCATGTGCCATCAGTGTAAGACTTGGATGAATTATTTTCTTGTTATAATGGCTTCTGATTGGTTGTGTAACTCTCCTCTCCAGCTGTTACAGGATCCATCACTCAGACTTCACTGATGTATCTTTTCCAAGAAATTCTATAGTGTTCAGTTACTCACAGCGGGACGTGCTCAGGAAATGCACAGTTTTCACGCAGCTCTTCAACGAGTATACACGTGACAGTAACGCCATACGAGCGCTGCTGTCTGCTGGTCTGATGAATTATGACTGAAATTAACAGAGCGTGATTAGAGCCACTGAAGAAACTGTGATGTTCTCATTTATATTACTAAATCCATTTGGTATTGTCAATATAATTCTCCACTAAAATGAACAGTGAAAGCTTAATTACCGAAACTAATAGCAGACCGTGCTCAGTGGTACCGGTACATGCTGGGATGATAACCTATGCTCCCATTGACCCAGTGCAGGGCTGACGGTCTTATTTTAGGCTTTGTGAGAAAAATAAAACCAGGAAGTTAAATGACTTACAGTAAAAAAAAAACACAAGCAGTTCTGAACCATGTCACAACCTCTCACTTATGTGTGTCAGGTGAGCTCTGCACCTCAAGACCGCAAGTTTTCAATGAGAGGAGGACATCTTGACCGACAGGTATTGGCTTCACTGGTAAAGAGGAGGCGTGCTGAGAGAGGCTGATGGATTTCTGAGGTTTTTCAAAAACAGCAAGTAGCTGGCATATATCATGCTGTTCTCCTTTTATATGAAATCATTTTCATAATTCAGCTGGAGAGGGGACAGAGTGTTCTGTCCTAGTAGAAACACACTGCTGCTCACATGCATGCGCCAACACCCGTACAGTCACAGACAAAAATATTGACAAAGATGTCAAATGACACTTCAAATTTTTTTCTCCAGCAGACACCCTGGTCCCAGTCTCGGAGCTAAGCTAAGTTAGCTGGTTGCTATCTTCCCGTTTCGCATGCAAACAGATTGATATCAATCGTCTCGTGTACCACTCAACAAAAAAGTTTATACAAGTATTTCCCAAAATGTAGAACTTTTACTTTAAGGATGAATACATAGTGCCAATTGTATAAATGTAATATATGTGGCTAAAATGTTTGAAATAGCAAGAAAATTGATAAAAAAAAAAAAAAATGAATACAGTTCAAACATTTTATCTAACAATCCTGCTGAACACGAGAGATAACTCCTCCAATGAAAGAAAGGCTTTGCACCTCATGGCTTTGTGATGATTTACATAAGAATTGTAAAAAGAAAGCCTCAGTCAACACATTTCAAAGGAGGTACAAGAGATACAAGCAATAAGTACACAAAGAGAAGCACATAGAAGTCTGCAATTGAAAGCTTTTATTCAAGCTCAACTAAAGCTTTCTTTCATTTATGTCCATGTATGTGGATAAGAAAATAATTACAACCTCTAAAGAAAAACGCGGTGTCTTGAACTTTCATCAACTAACCTTTATTCTCCTGACCTATGATTCTCAGAAAAAGCTACCCAATCACAGCGAAGGACAACGGCAGTGAGGCTGCACTGTTGACTGTCCATAAGAAAAGGTAGGAGCGTAAGTTATGTAAGCCTTAAGAAACAGACAGTTTATGAAGAGGCTCTTACAGTTTACTCCTTCCCTGTGCTGTGTGTGACGCAGGCTTGAGAGGGACAAAAGCAACGAAGGCCAGTGGTCCCTTGCTAAATCTGTGCCTGTGTTACTGCCACAGAAAGAAAAATAGGTAGATAAACTATCAGGGATGGTACACTGTGTGTAATGAACAATGTTAACTAGATAGTTTGGCATACTTACGTATGCTGGGGAATGTTTTTGGAGCTGTTTGGTGGATTGCCCTTGATGTGTGTGTGATGTGAATAGACATGTTGAATTAGTCCACGAAGAGGCCACCACCCTGTTACACCCTGTGTGTTTTGATGTTGACAGTCTGTGTTTGTGTGTTTTTGACCTGGTGAACTCCATCGCTGGCGGTGTAGACGGAGCGCAGCTGCTTCAGGTGGTCTCTGGTGTGGCTTAAACCTCGGAGGGTCTCGAACATCTCCTCCACAGCAGTATGGGCTCGCTCTGTTGTCAGCTCTTCTGGGTTTGCACAACCTAGCAACGCACACATGAATGCAGGCTCTTACTAAATGAAAAGATTGTTGTAGAATCATATATTAATGTCTAGAGTATGACTTGCAGAGGAAAATCTGTGAGCAATTGTTGCACGTTCCTTCAAAACTGACCAGAGGAGAAAGCTAAACATGCAAGAAAACATTTGCATCTGCAAAAAATGGTGTGCAAGATGTAAGATGTTTTGCAGGTAATTTTCTCAGCTGGGTATGCATTGAAACCAATTATCAAGGTAAACGCATGGCAGCGAGAGGACAAGAGCTCCTTTATTCGAGCAGAAAACACTGCTGTCTAATCAAAAGCTAATGTTCCCTCATTTCTAAAGAAGTGCGTAGGGAAGCAAAAACCTGCTGTGAAATAAACCCCAAATGACAGAGCATAAAACAGAAGGACAGAAACAGAGAGGCTGTGAAAGAAGGAGAATTGTGTGTGTGTGTGGGGGGTGAGATGACTGAAAAAGTGTGAAGGAAGAAAAAGGAGGATGGTAGCCAAGCAGGCAGTTTATAGTGCTTTTGGCAAAGTAGGTCGACTCGCATATTCACTTCCCCCTTGTGCTGCTCAGGAATGTAGCTGCCTTCTGTTAACAAGACGGTCAGCTGTTTTATAAAAGATATAAAAGCAAACCTGAAGACTGTATCAGCACAGCTAACTCTGAGAGGCTCATTACAGCTAACAAGGACATTGATGACTCCACCATCAGCGCTGCAAATCAGCAAATTTATATAAGATGGTGTTGTTTTTTTGTTTTTTTTACACAGCAATATATTGTGTTTGAAAAGGGTAATTCCATATTCTCAATTTAAGCTCCCACTTCCTCCCAGTCAGACGCTGTGAACTGTGTGCTGGGATAAGAAGATTAAGCTACAGGAGCCGCTTCATGTCTTCTTCCTCTCATGGCTCTGTTGGTCCACTCTGTGATATAATAAAATACCTCTGTACATTGGCCTATATGTTTTATCTCTTTGTATGGGGCTGTGCACAACATCAAACATCTGGATGTATTGCAGCAGAATTATCAAAGAAAATTCATATTGGCAGTTCCTTGGAAGGTCACAAACATGGTATAGGTCATGCACATCATCACAAAACTTAAATTATATTATATAAACATGAAACGAATGTTAAGCTAATTAAAAACCATCAATAATAATAAAAACAGCCTGCAGCAATGCTAGCAGCTCTAATTCCGCTAATGTCAGCAGGGTACCGTGCTGATGTCTGTCAGGTCATTTTGACCATACTCACTTTAGTGTCTTAGCATGCTAACATTAGCTAATTAGCACTAAACACAATGTACAGCTGAAACTAAAATGTTGTCAATTTTGCAGGTATTGGAGAAATAAGAGTTTGGACCTGATGTTGCTGTTTGGACGGTTATGTCATCACTTAAAGGACCAGTGTGCTGGATTTAGTGGCATCTGATGGTGAACCATTTGAATACAGCTCAGCCTCCCAAGCGTATAGGAGAAACCACAGTGACCGCAAAACTTGTGAAAAATATGAAAGGCCCTAGAGCCAGTGTCAGTTTCTCCAACATGCTTGCTCGGTTGGTTTCAATCTGCAATTTACCACTAGATGCAATTACAAAAATGACAGAAGCCAAAATACAGGAATATATTGTAAACCATAGATTATAAGAAAATCTCCAGTAACAAATCTCCAATAACTATATGTTTTACTCTCAGTAAAAGGTAACTAGAATTGCCAATGCTAATGACTAATCAGTCTCGACTCAAAAGCTTATGCATGACTTCAGCCGCCATGAGGTTTCCACCAAACCCTGGAAACTCAATTAAAGCTCTTACTTCAAGATTATATAACAACGTATGAGCTCACTTATTATACAGCCCTACTTTGGAAATGAAAGCAAAGGCAGACACATAATATGTGAGTGTTTCAGATAAGATCTAACATTTATAGAACGTGGTAAAAAGATCCCTTCATGCACACTGATACACTGACCTTACCTGGAACATATTGTGAATTAATAAGATGTAAGAGAAGCTATGTCACTGCCAACCCATCCTTCTCTTAGCATAAAGACAAGATAACTTTCATAAGGCTGAAAAGTGAACATAAATACTTGCTTCATTTTATTTGGCACATAACATATGTTGAGGAATACATCAACGTCAGCATGGTTAGATAACGCACACCGAACAGCTCAACTTTGTCAGGCTTTAATCTCTGTTAGCTCATTTTCCTTTCCTTATAGACAATATCAAATTTAGCACGGCAAGTCTTTGTTTTGTGTTACCGTCTTGAGGAATGTAAAGTGTCTGGCCCGGTGGTTTGTTCTCCTGCGCTGCCCAGGCTAAGACGTAAACTCTTTAGAAAAACAGCAGGGCTATTTGATGGAGCTGAGCGTGAAGACTCAGAAAGATGTGGGTCTTATCTTTCCAGACACCCGCAGTGGAGATAGGCAAAACAAACTACAACTGATGTTTGTCTCTGAGCATTTATACTGTCAAAGAACCCAAATACACAAGAATATGGTAAAATACAAACTGCAAATAGGCTTAAAATCTATTTACAGTAACGCACATTTGGTGTGTTTGTGGCAGGAGTGCTCTGGAATGGCCGTGGGTTGGATATATTATAAGGTCTAGGTAGGAGGAGATGTGTAAATCTGTTCGAGTGCTTACGTGTCTGCTGCCGTGAGAGAGCTGGTTGACTTGCTGCCAAAGCATACAGTGCAGGCCCACGGCAAGGTCTAGGTCTGTGGCAGGCTGTTGGATGCAGGCCCCCAACTCACCCACCCAAACACACACCCACACCCGAGGGTATCTGTGGTTTAGATGTTGATCGTGGCACTGCAGATCCTGACGAGGAGCAGGACCAGGTGCTGATCCGGGAACATCCAGCTTGGCTATGAGGCTGAACACCTGTGTCTGAATTCATGTCACGCGACGCTGCCACGCCACCAACCATAACGGCACCACACCACATTTACAACACCACACACTGTCTGATGTCTCTCACGCAATATGTGAGGTGAATTCCGGTTTGTTCAAATCGAGTGCATAAGAAATGCTCTTTTAATAGCCACCTGACTGTCTTGTAGCATCATTTCTTGTCTTTGTATGATTACACCTCTTGTACAACTGATGGGAAATGGTGAGTAAGTACATGTCATTTAAGCAGCTTCGCATTCGTCTGATCCCAAATGCCATCTACGTCTATTTACTTCCCGAAACACCTCAGTTTAACACCTAGTTTGGAAAATTACAAAGTAATTTCTAAGACTGACTCATCATTGTGCTGCTAAGAGAGAGATAAGGGAGACAGAGAAAGTGGGGAGAGAATGTTGTTTGTTAGAAGACCAATAAGAGTCCAGGCAGGAAATGGTTGATTGAGGGTTTTCTTAATGAGATCTAACGGAGCCGGAGGTGAGCAATAAGAGTGGAACCGACCAAACAGAGAAGCACAGAGGAATGTATCACTAATGAATGGAGGTGGACGGGGATTAAAACAAATAACAACATAAAGAACTGCAGAGAGAGAAGTGATGCAAACAAAGACCAAGTTGAAGACTTAATGTTGTTTAAAGGTTGACTTGAATGTCTCATAACCAGCAATCTTCAGTGTGGAAAGGTGGATCTGAACAGGAAGTTTTGCCTTTAAAGGAAAAGGCTGGTGTCATTCTACATTTTGTTCCTGTTAACAAATTCCATGAAAAGATCAAAACCAACGATCTGTTACTCCGTCTGTCAGTACTTCCCATCTGTGGCCCTGAGTCCCTACTGAAGATGAAAGTAATTAAAAATCAATCAAAAGTATATGCTTTCATTTAAAAAACCATTTCCTATAACAACTGGGCATTGTAGCAAATGTAAGCGCACACCAAATGTGTGAGTATTTACGGCAGCAGGACGGCGTATGTGCTAATGCTCATGCTAAAGAAGAAACCTGTTTTTAAGACAGAATGTTGCCACCTTTATCTTTCAATGCTGAGATTAAAAGTGGTTGAAAGGCTGAAAAGAAATGTTCACTCTAGCATATCGTATTACACAACAATTAAGCCAACAATGAAAAAAAACAATCAAAGAAATGTGGAAGTAAGAAGGCATTTATGTTCATTACCACTGCCACACTGAAATATGGCCTCTGCTAAAGAGCACAGGGAACATTAGATTAGAAAAACACAGTCTGTTTCCTCAACAACCCTCAACAGACTGCAACAGCTCACCATCTATGCCTGACACCACAATCAAAACCAATCACTCTGTACTTAAGAGTGGAATGTAGACAACAAGACTACTTATAAATATCTCGGGCTTATTTTGAAACCTGATCAAATATTCTATTCTGGCCTGAGAAAAGAATGAGAGTACGTGATTTTTGAAGGAGAGAGAGAGAGAGAGAGAGAGAGAGAGAGAGCAAGTCTGTATGATCCTGTATGGACTGCTGCAGGAAAATCGCTCTGCTACTGTATTTCAGGATGAAAGAGGAGAGGCAGAAGTGGTGGGTTTTTCAGAGCTACATGCTTGTCATGCCCCTTTTCCCTTACGTGATGCTTGCTGTCACCATGGCAACCATGTCAGTACTAGGTCAGGAGGAAGTCACTTCCGCGTGGTGCTATCATGAGAATGACATAAGTAACGCACAGCTGTACTGAGGAAATATGCACATATAGGGTCATAAGGAGCTACACTGCAGTTACCTTTAGCTATTCTACTTAGGCTCAAGAACCAAAGAAGTAAATGGAAGAAAAAAAAATAAACATTGTGTGTTGTGTTGCAATGTTTATCCTCAGATGGATTAAACTACAGGAGGATGACATAACCCTTTCATTCTCCCCAACAAGCAGCCTTACCCAACATCAGACCAATAATTTAACAAATAATATTTAATTTACAAGTTTAAGATCAATATAAATAATATAAGCTCTAAATATGATATTTATTAAAACATATTACATTTGTTTGCACTTTTCAAAGCTGAGATGTGATGATTTGGAATTAAGAATTGTCCCATTAGAT